TAGGTACTTTTCCTTTCCTTTTTTTGGGGGGGTAGTGGTAGGATGTCTTTGGGATATAGATCTAGTAGTGGTTTTGCTGGGTCGAGGGGTGTGCATAGATTTATAGCTCTTTAGGCATAGTTCCAAATTGATCTCCAGAATGTCTGGATCAGTTCACAACTCCAGCAACAGTGGAATGACATATACACTTATAAATTTGACAAAGTTCTGTATATATTTGAGATATCCAAGAAACTGTCTATACTTTTTTCACCCAATTTTTTGCTTTCCTTCTAATCTTGGCTACATTGGTTTTATTTGTACAAAAACTTGTAAATTTCATGTGATCAAAATTATCCATTTTATACCTTTTTTTGTTTTTGTTTTTTTTTTTGGTGAGGTAGGGTTAAAAGTAACTTGCCCAGGATCTCACAGCTAGCGAGTGTAAAGTGTCTGAGGTCAGATTTGAACTCAGGTCCTTTAACTCCAAGGCCGGAGCTTTATCTACTGTGCCATCTATCTGCCCCTATTTTATACCTTTTAAAACATTATTTTTTTTTAAATTTTATTAATTTATTTTGATTTATCAACAATCACTTCCATATGCTTTTGAGTTGAAAATTTTTCTACCCCTTCCTCCCCCACCCTCCCCAAGATGGCGCACAATCTGATATAGGCTTTACATTTACATTCCTATTAAACATATTTTCACATTAGTGAAGTTGTAAGTAAAAATTAAAACCAATAGGAGGAACCATCAGAAAGATGAAACAAAACTCAACAGAAGGTAAAAATAAGTGATAGCAATTCGACTTCCATAGTTCTTTCTTTGCATGTGGACAGCATTTTCCATCCCGAGGCTTCTGGAGATGTCTTAGATCCTTGTAATGCTGAGAAGGGTTCAGTTTAACAATATTAGTCATCGCGTACCGTGGCTGTTATTGTGTACAAAGTCCTCTTGGTTCTGCTCACTTCACTCAGCATCAACCATATAAGTCTTTCCAGGTCTTACTGAAGTCAGCCTGTTCATCATTTCTTATAGCACAATAGTATTCCATTACATTCATATACCACAACTTTAAAACATTATTCTGTGGAAGGAGTACATAGGTTTCAACAGACTGCAATTGGGGTTCATGACTCAAAAATGGTGAAGAAGTCCTACTCTGTACTATCTTGTTTGGTTGGTTGCCTTAGCTCCCATGGGTACAACTCTCATCTTTATGGAGATGATTCGTATGGGTAGTTATAATCTCTCTTGAGTTCATATCTTGTATCACCAACTACCTCTTGGACATCTTAGATTTGATGTTGTATGGGCATCTCAAACGCAGCATGGTCGAAACAGCTCATTATCTTTCCCCTAAACCATACTTTTCCCAACTTTTCTGTTACTATCTAGTATACCAACATCTTCCCAGTCACCCAGCCTCACAGTCTGTGTCATCCTCTACTTTTCATTATCATCCTACATACATTATACTTCCTACATCTATTGTCATATCATGTCATTTCTACCTTCACAGCATCTCTCCTATTTGTCCCCTTCTTTTCATTCACAAAGCCACCACCCTTGTAGAAACCCTCAGCATCTCATGCATTGGCCTTCTAATTGTTTTCTCTATCTCCAGTCTGTCCTCAACTATCCTGCCGAAGTGATTTTACTGAAGTGCAGTTCTGACCGTCTCACTTCAATACTCTACTGAGTGGCTCCCAGTAACTTTTAGAATAAAATATAAAATTCTGTGTTTGGCATTTAAAGCCCTTCTCAGATCTGAGCCCTTTCCAATCCTATCAAACTTGAACTCCCTCTATATACTCTACGATCCAGGTACACCGCTTATAGTGCTACCCCCAATCTGTAAATGTTCAGTAAGTACCTACTATGTGCCAGAGACTGCTAAGAGCTTGGGATGCAAAAAGAGGCAAAAGACAGTCCTTGCCCTCAAGGGGCTTACAATCTAATGGGAGAGACTATGAGCAAACAAGTATATACAAAACAAGCTATATATAGGAGAAATAGGAAATAATTAACAGAGGAAAGTTATTAGAATTAAAAGGGGCTAGGGAAGGCTTTTTGCAGAGGATGGGATTTTTGTTTGGATTTAAAGTAATGCCAGGGAGATCAGTAGTCAGAGCAAGGAGAGAGAACATTGTAGTCCTGGGGTACAGCCAGAGAAAATGCTGGGAACTAAGACTTGCCTTGGCTTCTTCCTCATCACCTTCAGACTTACAGCTTTCCTGTCTTCCTTCAAAGACTCAGCTCAAATCCCACCTTCTGTAGGAGGCCTTTCTTCTCTCCCCCCTCTCTTTACTCACTGCCTTCCTTTTGAGATTGCCTTCCATTTACACTGGATTAATCTTGTGTATATATTTAGTTGTCTCCTTTGTAGATAGACAGTGAGCTCCTTGAGAGTAGGGACTGTGTTTTTGACTTTATTTGTGTCCCCAGTTGCAGAGCACAGTGCTTGGCCTGTAATAAGCACTTAATAAATTCTTGTTGATACACCATACTTATTCTGTTGTAACCTCAAGAGATCAAAATTCAGACTAATGGATAGGAGTTACAGGATGTAGATTTTCTACAATTTAAGAAAAAGCTGCAAAATAAGCACAGCTATTCAAAAAAACTCCAGAATAGTTTACCTTGTTTTAGGAAACAAGCTCCTATCTCTGGAGATTTTGAAGTGTAAAGGGGATGTTGTAAAGAAGATGCTTTCACGGTTGACCTAGATGGTCTTTGAGGTCTTTTCTGATTCTGAGATTCTTTGAATCATGAATTTTATGTTTTGATAGAATTTGCAAATTTTATTTTTTCTGTATAAATAACTTCAACAGAGGAAATGTTTCCATGTGGTAGAAGTTAGTCTCTCCATTTTATTTGCATGAAAAAGAAAAAGATATATACTTGAGTGACATGCTTGTATTTAAAAATATTTAACTATAACATACATATTTAGCAATTGCATCCCCTGAGTTTTAATTATAAACAGCTCTGTTGTCACATACTTGACCTTCATTTGAGCTGATTGTTACTTTCAAAATGCAAATAATTTAAAATTCAGTTAGGGTTTCAGAAAATATTCTAATGTAGCTAAAATGGTTTTAATATTTTGTTAGGTATATCACATTTTTTGATCCATACTGAGCTTGCAGTCAAACCTGAGCTAACTTTTTCCAACACAAGCTGTTACAAAACCATGTCTCCATCATCCTGTACTTAAATAAAATATCTGGATTGAAGTAAAGTGCTTTTTGTTTTTTGCCTATTACTTTTTCTCTTAGTTTTCTCCACCATTTTAGCTTACTAAGATAATTTAGATCTTGATTTTGCCATCCAACATGAATCACTGTCAAGAGCATATAGATATCCAACTATTCCTCTTAGCTTTGTCTCCTTTCCTGTTTTGATTGGGGTATCTTCTGTCTTCATGCAAGTGATTGATAAAATATTGAACAGGTCAAAGACGATGAGAGTCGTGTGGCATATCACTAGAGACTCCTACAGGGTGACGTGGAAACATTAATCAACACTTTCAATACAGTTTTCAACCAGCTGTGAATTCATTTCCCCTCACTGTACTTTGATTCAGCCTACATTCTTCCATATTGTTCACAAGGATTTCATGATAAGTATTTGAAATGTTGTCACATAAATAAAGTTGTCACATGTTTTGCTTCATCCTAGAGGGCAGAAATAGGAAAAAAGGATGGAAATCGAATCAACATTTATTAGGTGCTTACAATGTGTCAGGTACTGTGGTAATGTTGGATGTTACTGAGAAGTAGCTTTGATTTTAATGTAAAGAACCACTTCTTAACCATTAACCTTTTTTCAAAGAATGGAATGAACTTTTTCCAGAGTAGGCTAGAGGTTACTCTGGAGGTCCTTTCCAAAGTAGCAGAGGTATGCCGCTTTCCTCAGGTCTTAAGGAGATGATGAATTATCACTTTTGACTGACAAAAGTTATTGTAAAAGGAGATTCATGGATTTTCAGATATGAGTTGGAGATCTATAGATAGCCTTTTGAGAATATTTCCAGCTTGTAGAGTTTGTGATTCTGAGTTCAGATACATTTACTTTATTACCTTTTAGAAAAGAAATCTATTTTCCTTTAAAAACCCTTATGTGGATTTCAAAGTCATATAACTTGAAACAACACAATTTCAGCCTCTATTAGGTTATAGACCTCGAGATCTGTTGTTTTCTGCTGTGAACCAGAATTTGAATTTGCCAGTACGATAAGCTCCTCATAATTACTACTGGATGCGAATGATGGTGTCAACTCCATTCTTCCTACAGCTATCTTTTGGATCAGAAGTTTAAAGTAAAGAAATAATGAATGAATAAAAAAAGACATTTCTTGTGAGAAGCGCTCCTATAATGAGGCATCTAAAAGTTGCTTATTCTTAATGCAAATCTATTACTCCAGGTAAATGGTGTTATGTGAATCTGTTACATAGTTTTAGGAGTCTTTTTTGCATAAAAACTGGATAGTATATATTACCTATTTATTTTCCTAAAATCATAATACAACAATTAGTTCAGACTATAATGTAATTGTCCATGGAATCATCTTAGCAATCTGGGAGTCTTATGGGGGTGATTGGAGGGTAGGATTTAAGACATTTTTGTCCAGATCCAGATTGGGTTGGATGCTACTTTCTGTCAGATGTTTGTAGTTGAAGTGGCGTTTTCTTGGTGAGTTTTTCCTTGCTGATATCCTTCCTTTAGCAATTGCTTCTATTTTCTATTTTCTTTCATTAACTTGGAGCCACGTACTAGTTGTTGAAAATGGATTAACCAAAAACATTACTTTTTTTCTGAGGCTCAAAATATAAATAAATGTTTTCAAAAGTTTAATATGAATTGTTTTTAACAATTTCACTTTCTTTTGTGCAAAGCCACAAAGTAACAAATACTATATTCATACTGACTATATACTATAAAATAGAATTTAGTTTGTGCATTTTAGACTGGGTCTGAATATTTTTGACTTTTTTTTATGCTTTTAAACTAGATACTTCATATTTTGCTGAGCTTTCTTCGTGGAGCTTCTTTTCAGATGTGAGTATTATATGTAAGTGTTTAGGAGTAAATTTTGGGCTACTTGTTTGTAATCTACGTATTGGCTGTTCTGTAGCAATACCAAATTAATGTTGATAAAGTAGAGAATATTATGCATCTGATAAACTAAAAGATTTAATTATGGTATTTCTTATTAACTTTATATTTAATTATTTTCTTTCTAGGATAAGTCATCATTGAGCTATATCAATTAGATGTTGGGTGCAGTCAACCTATAGCTTAATTTTTAAAAAATTATTGTACACAATTCACATTACTTTGCTTTTGTGTTCTAGTAAGTCAATTAAGGTTTAGTGTTAGAGCACTTATTACCAATCAGATGCTTGGCTAGAAATGTATTTTCATAAACGGACAGTTTTGAGGCTAGTCTACAGTGCAGCTGCTGTTAACTTTGATGTATGTATAAATGAACTGAAAGGTGATCATTTAGGAAGTTAATTTAAATAGTTACATAATAGTCTTGGATCTGTAGATCCTTAAATTAGATGAAAAATCAAGTTTCTAGGCATTTATGAGTTCCCATCTTAATAATTTTTAGAAGAGGGTAGAGAAATAGAAAAGCAGACTCTTCTGTTCTCTATGGGTAAAGAGTTCATTAGGGAAAATGAAAGAAGGTTATATTTGAACAGATTAGCTAGTATATAGCATTAATACAAATTCCATCCTGTAGAGAAGAGAGGAGGCTTGTGGATAATCTGTTACTCAGTAGATGAGGGGTGAGGACAGGAAGCATAAAAGCATCTGGTTCCAGAGAAGTACTATTACCACTGAAGAATTTAGAGCAATAGTAGAAACTTTGCAGCAAGATAATTTAAAAATCTTTGGTAAACAGTTGGCCCTCGAGGTGGGTAGTTGCAGCTCATTTAAATTATTGCCATAATGATTATAGTTTATAATCAACACTGTTTATTATAAAACCTACAGAGCATCAAATTAATGAGCATAGAATTTTAGAGACAGTGATAATCTCAGCACTGCTTCCTGAACTGTTTGTTATCCTACGAGAAAATACTTTTTCTGTCAGCTTTTTAAAATGACACTCTGGTATTGACTTTACTGTAGTATTCACTTTCTGTGTAATTTTTGATTGGAGAAATGGTCATGGTTAAGTTTTGGTAGGTCTGAAATGTGTTCGACAGCTATCGATTCATAATCTAGTTACCAAACAATTTGACTTTCTTGAATGTTAACATACTATATAGAAGAAATGAATGCTGTTGGGGCAGGTAGGTGGTGCAGTGGATAGAGCACTGGCCTTGGAGTCAAGAGGACCTGAGTTCAAATGTGACCTGAGACGCATAATACTCAAGCTGTGTGACTCTGGGCAAGTCACTTAACCCCAATTGCCTCACTGGAAAAAAAGAAAAAAGAAAAAAAAATTAATGCTATTAAATATTAAATATATTAGAGAAGATAACGTACCAAAATACAGGGTGAAATTTATGTAACTAATAATTTTGATGGATAATTAGGGAATTATCCATTTTTCTTTAGTCTAGAAATATTTGGATTTCTAAGCCATTAGATGAGTTAATTTAACTAGAAATATTACACGTAGAACAATGTGCAAATTAATGCACTTTGTATTAAATTTTTAGTAGTAATGTAATTATTGAAGCCACATTTAAATGAACTTTTTCTGCATTTTCCAAAGTTATTCTACCCTTGAAGTCTAGTCTATGCTAAGTTGGGAACCCCTCCAGGGGAAAAACGCAATGCTGTGTAAAAATGGGACATTGGGTCTGATTGAAATATGCTTGTATTTTCTGAGCACGATTATTAGCAGACAATGTCAAGCCAATGGGCAATTCAGCTTGGTTTTTAAGGGGCTTAGTGAATCGTTAAAGTGAAAATTATTATCACATATTTATACGATGGCTTTCTTTTTCAGAGTTCATTGATGTGCGTTAATAATGTATCCTTTCCTCTTTTTTTTTAATAGAATTGTTAAAAAAAAACTGGCTATCCAGTTTTTAAAAAGTGATCTCCAGACCTTTTGTGAGGTAAGTAGCAGGATGAGTTATTTGGTGGTCAGATATATTATTATATCTTATTATTATATTATAAATAATATGTTATATATTGTTTATACTACTTTTTTGATATTTTCAAAGAAGAAAATTCACTTCTTAACCAGTTTACCACTGAAATAGAATAAACTGTTAACACAATTGTATTAATATTATTCAAATAATTTTTTAATTGTACTTCTGTAGATAGTTAACAGATATAATTTAGAACTACTAAAACAAATATGAAAAGTAATATTAACTCTAAGGTACCATATTATTTGGGATTTTAGTCTTGATTAGTTTAGCTATTAAAATATTAGCATAAAGGCACAAAATCTGTCATGGACATTTTTTAAATAGAGACTGGATGACCACTTATTAGGGATATTGATTAGACTATTTTTGCTTCAGGGATGAATTCGATTATGTGACCTTAGACGTCCCTCCCAATAATGAAATTCTGTGGTTCTAGCAAAATTTGAAAATTTTAGTATAAGCTGTTAAATGAGGATTTTACTGTCAAATGGGCATACAAACACTTAGAGTATTTCCTGAGAGCTTTTAACTCTTAAGAAAGATTTAAAAGCACTTATTATTTCTCTGTAATGAGTTGCTTTGGTTACATCTTAAAATTAACTTGTATTTCTTTTACCTTTAATCATTATCATGAAATTTTCTGAATATACTTGTTGTGTTAACTATATTTGTTTTGGGTGATTTCCTAAGTTGCTAAATCATGGAAGCGATTCCCATTTTCATCAGATGTTTTGACATTTTTTTCACTACTGTCCTTTCTGGTCACAAGTAAAAATCATGTCAGATTGATGCTTTTGAGAGACCAGGAAATGTTAATGTAATTACTAAATATTTGTAGGTCCTACATCTACTCAAATGAAAACTTCTTGATTCTTTATTTAAAGGGTTGTGGGGTAGATAAGTTTGTTATTCTTGTACCCTCTTCCCAAGGCTTGACATAATACTACATCATCCAAACCAGATCCTTTCAATAGGATCTCTCCCTTCCTGTGAACCCAGTCTGAACATTTGACTGACAGTGAATAGGATGTACTGCTTAGCATACCATAAGCAAAGAACAAAATTTGTTGATATATCATTGGATTATATCCTGCTGAGTAGAGGGTTTTATGTTTGATTCTGAAGATGATAGGGAGCCACTGGAGTTTATTGAGCAGGAAGTTTATATGATGGCACTTGTACTTTAGGAAGATCAGGTTGATAGCTAAGTGGAGGATAGACTGGAATGGGGAGAAGCTTGTGGCAGGAAAATCAACAAGCAGGCTAGTGCAGTAGTCTAGGTGTGAGGAGATGAGGGCCTGTATCAGGATGGCATTATTAGAAGAGAAAAGAGTACGTTTGTAAGAGATGATACAAAGGTAGAATTGACAGGCCTTGACAACAGATTACATATGGAAGGGTGAGAGAGCATTGAGTCAAAGATATCTAGGTTGTTGGCTTGGGGATGGAGAGAGGATGGTGGCGCCTTTGTAGTAGGGAAGTTTGGAAGGAATGAGGAAAGATTATAATGAGTTCTGTTTTAAGGTGTCTGTGGGACATCCACTTTGAGATACCTAATAGGCAGTTAGAGATGTGAAACTGGAAGTCAGCAGAGAGGTTTGGGTTGGATTAATAGATTTGAGAATCATTAGCTTACAGATGTTAATTGAATCTGTGGGGGAGGAATCCTGTGGTGTGCTCATGGCTAGCAGATATGACTTGGATTAATTATTTGGCAAAGAATACTGAGAAAGACCAGTCAGATAGGAGGAAGACCAGGAGAGACATGATAGGGACATTAGAAGTTATCTAGTTTAGCCTTATAGTTTTAAAGATGAGGCTGAGTGACTTGTCCAAGGTCCCATAGGTAGTAAGTTATAGATCTAGGATTTGAACCCAGTTTCTTCTGATTTTTCAAACTCGGTGTTCTTTCCATTCTACCAGGCTGCCTCCCAATGACTGAATTTCTATAGCAGAAAAATTATTATTCTAAGTGAGGATAAAAAAATCCAATACTAACTAATTAGATGTGTAGAAGTCAGTAACAGTATTGGTGGAACCACGTAGTGCTACTATTAATACTGTGATACAGGTTACAGAGCATACTTTTCACATATTTGATCATTTTTGATTCTCACAATCTGTGAGTTGGATCATGGAGGTATTAGCTTCATTTTCTAGATAACTGGAGCTCAGATAAATAGAGGATTTGCCCCCAAATCTTCCAGCTATGAAGTAGCAGACCTGGGTCTAGAAGTCAGGTGGTAATTCATAGACCAGTGCTTCTCCCCAGCTCCCCACTATCTTAGGAGAAATATTGCTATTGTCTTCTTTCATTAAATTTAAATGTTTTCATACCTGATCTTTCCTTTAGGTAAAATGTAATGTGTCAAGAGCAAGTTTATAAGGAATGCTTTTTGTCATATTTTCAGAAGTTAAGGTGGCTGAAGTTACATTCTTTAGGGAGAAACTGTAAGTAAAACACATTTGATATATTGAACTTAAACCAAATTGTATTCAAATAAGAAAAGTTATAGCTTAAATATGAGGGTCATCAGTTATATACTATTTATATAACCCTGTATGGATAGAGTTTAAAATTAAACTGAAAGTTTCAAATGGTGGTAAATTGAGGCTATTTATGTACATTGCCTTGGTCAGAATGAGCTATAAACTTTTTTTTTTAACTTGCAGAAATGGCAGCACAGAAAAGGAAATCTACACTGGTAGAACATTCTGCTAAACGGAGGAAACTAGATAACAACAGCAAACTGACAAACTCAGCAAACAGAGAGAGAAACTTCGAAACACAACATGTGTCAAATAAATCAAAGTCAAATAACTGTAAAGTACAGAAGAAAAAATCTCCCAAAACTTTTGTTAAAGCCGACAGGTCAGTGACCAATAAAACCACCAATAATTTTGCTAGATCTTATCAAACTAAATTAGTTGAAAAGTCACAGTCTGAACCTGAACTAAATAGAACCACCCATAAAACTTTGCCATTAACAAAATCAGCACTAAAATCTCCAAATAGGATAAATTCTCCTCAGGCTTCCCCCAAATCCTCCAAAGTAAAACATAAGAATCCTTCAGGGTCCAATCATACTATTTCTAGTAATGCCCCAGGAAAGACAGAGAAAACTAATTTGAGTGAAACTAAAATTTATTTTGAAAATGAATGTCAACATCAGTTAAAAACAGATTTTAAGAACAGTTCTGGAATCCAGAGCATCAAAAATAGTAGGCATTCAGTATTAGATTCTACAAGGACATTTAAAACTACTCAAAGGACTGCTGAGTCAGAAATGAAATCTACAAGGGGAAAATCAAAAGAAAACAATTCTGCTACATCAACTAAAATAGTAAAAAATAACAATAAAAAAGGACAAGGAGTTAAAAATTCTCAGAGGACTCTAACAAAATCAGCTTGCAAGGAATTAGAAAAACCATTAAATAAATCTTCCAGTGACTGTAACACAAATGAATCTGAACTAGGAACACATGTGGTCACCAGGTCAACAAAGGCTTTCTTTGATGAGAAAAAATCTACTAACTGCATTCACAAAACACAGGTGACTGTGAAGAAACATTCACAAGAACCAAGACAAAATAGGAAACCTCAGAAAAAATCAGCTCATGCAACTGCTAAATCAAAATGTGGCACTCAGTTGAATGAGTTTAATAGGAGATCACAAAGACTACAACAGTTAGCAGATATTTCAACAAAGTCCTTGCGTAACAGAGAAATTAAAAATCAAGTTCTAGAATTAAAGCAAAGCATATCAGCTGATAGAGCGGAGTCCTGTAGCAAAGCTAAAACTAAACCTAGTCAAATTAAAGTTGTGCAGAAAAATTTGAAACGAAAACTCATAAGCTCTGACTCTAAAGAAGAGAGAAGCACAGCAAGTGAAGTATCAAATTCACCAAAAAGAAAGAAATGCAGGGTAAATAATATATTAGATGGTGCCTGTGGTCCTCAGCACAAACAAGGATCTGAAAAATGTCATCAGCACAAAATTAAAAAAGAAGGAAAAAACTCAGTGCCTGTCATCTCTTCCCAAGACAAAAAAGCAAAAACGGCCACTTCTCTGATTTCAAAAAGGAATGAGAAAATTAACAAGAAGGAGTTAGTTCATCCAAAAATGAAAAGCAAAACAAAATCAAAAAATTCACAACCAGCAGTGACTGAAGGAAACACGGATAAACATTCAGAGGAAGTTGTAAAGACAAAACGTGTTAGCATCCTTGAACTATGTGAAGAAATTGCAGGTGAAATTGAGTCAGATACAGTTGAGGTGAAGAGAGAATCTTCGTTTACTGAAGGAGGAAAAGAGGATCAGAAGCCAACAAAGTTGGAGCTGACTGAAATTGAAACACAGGTGATTACTCAGAAGGAAGCAGATGAAAATGTTCAGTGCAAACGTTTCTTCCCCAGTAGAAAAGCCAATCCTGTAAAATGTGTATTAAATGGTTTGAACAGACTAGCTAGTAAGAAATCCAAATGGACCAAAATTAAACTAGGAAAAGCCAATCACTTACGTCAGAATAGTTTAGGTTCTCCAAATGCTCCTAAACTGGACCCATTAAAAACTAAACCTAAACTTCCACAAGGTTCAATTCATCTGACAGCTTCAGAAATGGATCATCCAAAAAGTCAAAGCCAGTGGCTAATGCCGAGACCATGTGATGATAAAGATTTAGCATGCCATGAGGAAAAACAGAAAGAGATTTATTTTCAAGAAGTCAAAAGTGGTAAAACAACTGAAAAGAACAGAACTACAGAAAGGACTACTGAGAATGGTCAGCTGGATAATCGAATTAAACCGCCTCCCAAACCATCACTGGATAATCAGATGAAACATTCTCTTGAACCAACACTTGATGAGGTAATCAATTTCATTGTGTATAATATCAAAGGGACACGGGTACTTTGTAAAAAAAAAAAAAAAGGTAGTTTGGTCCAAATAATCATGTCATGATTTTGTTTAGCTAAAATGCTTTAGTTTAAAAAGTCATTTGTTAAGATCAGATTTTGTACATAAGAGAAGTATAAACCAACTGCTAATTAAGATATGGACAGGTAAAGGTCTTTTCTAATTTGGGGAAATAATCATAAAACCAGTGGAAGGCAATATAAGGCACTTCCTTTATAGTCTTTAAATTTCTATGGAAATTCAGTCTTTTTTGGGGGGGGTTCCTTATTAATTTTCAGCAGAAAACCTGATTGTTTCCTGCTTCATTTACCATATTCCCACATACAATCTTAATTCCTGTTGTTTTTAACCCTGTTTGTCTAAACCTAATATAAATTGGAACAAGCCTATTTTTCTCAAAATTTTAATGTAGTTATATTTTAGAAAGTAGTTTAAAAAACCTCATTGATACAGATATCACTGGTCGTGTGACAGGAAAAAAGGTCCTCCTTCAGCCCTCTGGTGCCAAACAAAATAAGTGGAATCATCTAGTCCAGATGTTGTTTGTGAATGGTGAACTTATTTCTTCCTAACTCATTTCTTCTTCAGGTGAAATAACTTTCCATTTCCTTCATCTGATTTTCAGTTCATGTCATTTCAAATCCTGTGTGCATTCATCTGGCTTTGTAATTTAGAGCTTGAGTCTTATTGCTGGAAACCTGAAATATAAATCGGTGTGCCATGAGACACTTCACAAAGGGACAAAAAGGAACATAATATATTCTTATTTTCTGTTCCTTTTTTAGTTTCTATCATAATTAGTAAAGAATAGCAGAGTACAACCTTTAAAAAATGGATGCTAGCTGGAGATATGCAAGTCGTGACCATTCTACTTTGCTAGTGGGATCGTCTTTCATTGACGACTTCATCATAAAAGTTACTATGCTAGATTACATTGTAGTAGTCTTTTTCTTTTGGCTAGACAGTGGGGTTAAATGACTTGCCCAGGATCACACAGCTAGTAAGTGTAATGTGTCTGAGGCTGGTTTTGAACTCAGGTCTTCCTGAATCCACCAGGGTTGGTGCTTTATCTGCTGCGCCACCTAGCTGCCCCCACTGTAGTATGTAAATTGTCACACTACCTCATAAGCCAACAGGTTATATCAGCTAACATTCACAAGAGTTTTTTGTAGTTAACATACTCATACATTTTTATTCTCAATTTTTGAATTATTTTGTGTAAGTATTATTTGCCATTTTACAGAAAAGGAAACTGTTTCAAAGAGCCTTGTCAATTTCCCAAAGTCACATAGCTATGAAGTGTCAGAAATGAGACTTTAATTTGAATCATCTGACTCCATAGTAGTCCTCAGCTAGATAGAAGCAAGACTGGCACATAGTATATAAGTAGAAAGAGGATAGGAATGGGGTGTGCTGGCATCAGGAAGGATGGGAAAGTAAAAAATGACAGAGAAAAACTTCTTTCTTAATAATAATAAAGGCTGGTTAAGTCAGCCCTTAACTTCTAAGGCCAGCTCGTTCAGTCTTGTCCAACCTATACAGAATCACTTGGTTATTTCAAATGCTGTCCTTTGTGACTTATGCAATAGACCACTAACCCTTGAAGAAAGAGTAGGTGATAGTTGGGAAAAGGTAACATGGGCCAAAGTTGAAGTAAATATTGTAGGCTGTGTCGAATTTTTGTAGGGCTGGTAATTTTTGAACAAATCAGTTGTCTGAACTTGTAGTTTATTAAGGTAAGAGTAACTCATGAACCATGTATTTTTGAGGGAGTTCCTTAATATTAGTAAATAAAGTTCTTTGTGAATATAAAATGTAATTTTCTCTTTATATGCTGTCTTTTAATCAGTTTTAGCATGTAGTGCTTTGGGTTTGGGGACAGAAATTAATATAAGGGAGAAATGGTTTGATTCAGAATGTATTAAAATTTTGAATTGTGTATGTTCAGAGTTTCAGCTTATATTTGGAATCTAGTCCAGAAAACACTCCAATGAAAAATGTTGCAGCAGTGCCACCTCTTCTTAATCAAGCCAAAAATGACACAGGAGAAAATAAATCTCCAGGTAATACTTGGAAATTAAGTTACTTGAATTTGTAAGGTTCAGAGATACTTTCCAGAATAAAAAAAAAAGTTTTCATCCATAATAACTGTTCATTTCACTAAGCATTGTTCAAATCTTTTAGACTTACAGATTCTTTCTAGACAAAGTGTAGTCTTTTATAGTGAGATTTTATTTTCCAGGAGATGAAGCATTTTATCTGTTCCTTTGCATTCCTAGAACGTGTGTGATTTGGTTTTATCTAAAGAGTTCTAATGTAACTCATTTATCCTTGATTCTTTTCCTGGACCTTCTTAGTCTCTATTGTAGTGGCTTTTTAATTTTGTTTTTATTTCAGGATACCCATAACTCACATCTTCAAGAATTGATTAATACTCTTAAAGCTAGTCAGTAACGGCTACAGGGTATTTAAGAATACAAGGACTTTCTTATTTTTCTTTTATTTCATCTCCTCAATCATAACCTTTAGTTACTGAAATTCTGTTTGATTAATGCTGCTAACTCAATATTAGGTTCCTGATCAATTTAAGAAATGTTACCATCTATTCCACTTTTATCATACAAATGTGCATGACATCTTACAAAAGACTTGTAGTGAAATCTGTTTCCCTTGATAAAATAATCTTATTGGAACCCTTTGGTCATTGTTTTCTTGACTGTATCAGCATATAAAGAGAAAGAAATTTATGATTATCATTCTGCTAAAGGAAAGTGCTAAAGATAAGACCTAGGCAGTTGCAGTTATGTTTCTTCTCTCTCATCTTTTTTGATGTGTTCTCATAAAAGAATAGAGTAAATCCAAAAATTGGTACATTAGTTCAGTAGACAGGTTTTTATTTTTGTTATAAACTTAAATATAATGAACCTGGATACATTTCATTATAAAGAATAGAAGAAGAAGATTATATATAAAACTGAACTTGTAGCTTTTTTGTTTAGTTGTTTGGTATTTTTGATGGCTTAAATATCCTTGTTTCTCTTCTGCCTCCCATTGCCATTTGCTTTTTTTTAAATACATTTTTTTTCAATTTTCAAGCATTTATTTTCTCTCTGTACCTCCCCACCCCTACCCCAGGGTGAGGTGGGGAAAGAAATGCAAAATCTCTTATATAGGCATAGTGAAGTAAAACAAATTCCTGCATTGACCATGTCCAAAAATGTGTTTATTTCACAAGTCTGACATGAGTTTGCAACATTTTTTGTTATCAGTCTTCTGGAGTAATGGTTGGTCATTGCATTGACCATAGTTCTTATCTTTCAGAATAGTTCATTTTTACAGTATTGATGCTAGGGTATAAATTGTTCTCCTGGTTCTGCTTACTTACTTTAAATCAGTGAGCGGAACCAGGAGAAGATTATGCATAGTACAGCAACATTGTGTGATGATCAACTATGATAGACTTCGCTCTTCTCAGCAACACAGTGAGCCAAGACAATTCCAAAGGACTTCATGATGGAAAATGCTGTCCTTATCCAGAGAAAGAACTATGGAGTCTGAATGCAGATAGAAGCATACTATTTTTACTTTTTTTTGTTTTTTTCTTCCTCATTTTTCCCTTTTGTTCTGATTCTTTTTTCACAAGATGACAAATGTAGAAATAGGATTTTAATATGATTGTACGTGTATAACCTACATCAGATTGCTTGCTACTTGAGGAGAAGGGAGGAAGAAAAATTTGGAGCTCAAAATCTTAGAAAAGTGAATTTTGAAAGCTATCTTTACATGTAATTGGAAAAAAATAAAATGGTATTGATTGGAAAAAAACTTCATTCTTCATCTAATCATCAGTCTTCCCAGATTTCTCTGAAAGTCTTCATTTCTTACTGCACAATAGTGTTCCATTGCATTCTTATACCTTAGTTTATTTAACCATTACCTGGGTAATGGGTTAGCTTTCAGTTCTTTACCTCAACAAAAGGAGCTGCTATAAGTCCTTTTTTGATAAATATATAATCTTTTCCTCTTTATTTGGGGATATAGACCTAGTCGTGGTATCAGTAGGTCAGAGGGCTTGCCTCAAGCATAATTATAAATTGATTTCCAGAATGGCTGGTACAGGTTACAATTCCATTTATAGTGCATCAACTTGTAAAAGTGCGTATTAAACTTCTCAATAAGTAAATAACTCAATAATAAAAGTATTTTATTTTGGGATAAAATCTTATATTTATTACCCTTTATTCCTTTCTTAAAATTCACAGTGTATAAAGCAAGGATAATTTTATTGGCTATAAGTAGGGAGGAAAATAATCTAATTGGTTTTTGTTAAATGAATTTATTAAACAGTAATAAATTTATCATATATTTTGACTTTGTGTGGTCAGGTTTGGCCAGTTATATAGCTAAGCATGTGATCTTTTTTTTATTATTAAATTACAGATATAACTCCTAAACAGCTGATAAGCACTTTTAATAACCAAATATCTAAGACCAGTGATAACAGGTATGGTATGACCTTTATCTAGATGAAATGATGAATTCTTAAGATATTTGTGACAAATTAAAGTTTTGGGGTGGTGGAGGAATGTGTCCTATACACAACTAGGTTTTTTATTTTACTTGTATAGGGAGCTCCTAGTAAGTAATTTCCTGTCACCAGTGGAGATCTATAGTTGGCTTGTATCTTATGGTCTGGTTCACAAAGTTAACCCAGGATTAACCTGGGTTCATAGAGCCAGTATTTGTTAAAGGTGGGATGTAAATCAACTTTTCCTGACCAGAACTAGTTCTTTATCTACTATGCCATGTTGTCTCTTGTATGGTCTAAAATTTGATAAATCATTGTGTTATATATTGTAGAATGCATTACAGAATCAAATAAAGTGGAAAAATTGAATAACTCTCCAATTCTAACCCTGTATTTTGGTAATTCTCTAATCCAAACCTATTTTCCAGTTGACCCCATTCTGTCTATCCTAGAGTTTAAACTACCATTTAGCTTATTCAACAGGGCTATTTTTCTTTTTTCTTCCCCCAAGATCAGTGTTAATTCCTGCAGAAAAAGAAATTATAATAATAGTGTTTGACAAGAAAATACTCATAGCAAATTGATAGATTAGGTAAATGAAAAAATCAAGTTAAAAAAAAGAAGTTGAAACTAAAAGATGATGAGAGACATTGTAGTATAATAGGCAGAACACTGTTTTTGGAGCAAGGAAGACTTATGTTCCAGACCCCTTTCAGACTGGCCAGGTGATACTGAGCAGGTCACTTAATTTTGCAGTGTTACAAGTAACTCTTTTAAAATTATAAGTTTAAGAAGACTTGTTGATCTGCATTGATAGAGGTAGTTTCTTAACCATCATCTTGCTGCACCATTTAAACCATAGGTTCAATTAAAAAAAAAGTCATGATTGAGCTCATGATTGGTTAATATATTTGATCACATTAGTGCAAATGGAAAGAAAATTTTCATTAAAAACTCAAAACATAAAAAGTGTTGCAGTTTTTGTAAATTTTTTTTTGTTTTTATAGCAGATTTATTTTTGTAATCATATATAAATGTATGTATACTTTGAAAGACTATCTCAAATATTTGAAGGAATAAATAAGTATAAAGCAAACAATTTACAGGATTAAAACATCCACAGTATCATTTTCAGATTCTTAATTAGCATGCTCATTCAGGCTTACTAATTTGTCTAGAAAATCTTTTTTTTTCTTGGAATTCATTATTTAATAATGAACACCATAGTAAATGCTACATTGTTTAAAAAAAGTTTGAAATTACCTGGAGTTATTATATAATTCAATGTAATTTATTTTTTAAATTTGAAGGGTGAGTTTGCTGAACCATTCATCATCAATAAAGTACAATTCCCCTTTGGAAATAAAGATTTCAAAAGATTTAAAATTAAAAGAAGCAGAGAAGGATGGTGATAAGCAGTTGATCATAGTAAGTTATTTTAAAATTTTATTACCTTTTTATATCTTAGTCATTTCCAGATATGCCTCTATACTTTCCCAGCTAACCCTTGTAACAATAAATACATTTTTAGATATGGTTGAATTTTTAAAAGTTTATTTTATTGATTCTTTTAAAAAATTTTCAGTTTTTCAAGTAAGAAATCTGTTTTCTCTCTGACTTACCTCTCCTAACCTTCTCTCATTGGGGAAAAAAAAAGGTGAAAACTTTGTAACAAATATGCATAATCAAGCTACATAAATTCATGCATTGGTCATGTCCAAAAAATAGATGTCTCAGTCTACACCTTGAGTCTTATTACCTTTCTCACAGGAAGTAGATAGCATGTTTAATCATTAGTCCTTTGGAAATGTTGTTGGTCATTGGATAGATTGACCTTCTTAAGTCTTTTAACATTGTTTGCTGTATAATAGTATTCTATAAATTTTTTATTCTGCTTCTGCCTATTTAACTATCAGTTCAAATAAGGCTTCTGAATTTTATCAGCCTTCACTTTCATTGTTTTTTACAGCATAGTAATATTTCATTTGTGTATCATAATTTGTTCAACACTTTCCCATTTGATGGGCACCCCTTTGTTGTCCAATTTTTTGCCATCACCAAAAGCACTGCTGTAAATATTTTTGTGTGTATGTGTCCTTTTTCTTTATTTGATCTTTTTTTGTGATATAGGCCCAGTAATGCTATTGTAAAAGATGTACAGTTTAGTGAATTTTTAGACATTGTTCGAAATTGCTTTCCTGAACAGCTTGGCCATTTCACAGCTTCATTAACTATGCATTAATGTATTTGTTTTCTCATATTCCCTCCAGCATGTATTACTTTACTTTTTTGCTGACCTGATTTTGTCATTGAAAGTTACCTGATAGGATTAAAGAGGGCAGTGAAAAATTTAGTATGTAGTGATTTGTATTCCGCAATAGACCAGGTGAGCAGACTGAGTATTTATGGGTTTTTCTGCCCCATCTTTTCATTGGTTAAAAATTAAAATAATGACAAGTGAGCTTTCACCTTATTTTGCCCAGAACTAGATTTTCATACCACTTCCCAGCTGTCTCTAGAGTGTGCTGTATACCAGGCTGTAACTATTTTCTAGCTCCTTCAGCTCACCACCAGCTCTTTCTATATATGTTTTATTCCCCAAGTAGAATGTAAGCTCTTTGAGGGCAGAGGCTATATTTGCTTGTATTTGTATTCCCAGTACTTCACACAATGTGTAGTAAGCACTATCTTACAAATATCTTAAACTTAATGTGTCTAAATCTGAACTCATTATCTTTCCCTCTGAATTCCCTCTTCCAGACCCTCCCTATTTTTGTCAAAGGTCTTTCCATTGTGTAAGGTTTGTAATTTAATCGATACTCAAATCTCATCCAACTCCAGTGTTCCCTATTGCCTCTAGGATAAAATACAAACTCCTCTGCTTAACTTTTGAAGTCCTGTATAACCTTGTCTTTACAGCCTTTCTTTGATCCAGCCAAACTGGCTTTCCCTCTTTTCCTTCCACAGGGTACTACTCCATTTCATATCTCCATGTCTTTTCATTGACCTTTCCCTATGCCCAGAATTCACTTCCTCCTTACCTCCATCACTTTTCCTTTAAGATGAGAGTCAGTCATTGTCATCAGTGTGGAGCCTTTTCTCATCTCTCCGGCTGCTGTTGTCCTCTGTCTCAAATTAACTTGTATTTTAACTACTTTGCATATATTTGTATTTATTCACTTTATCTTATGGTATATATAGATGTATGTGTGTATGAATATATATTTGAGATATATATGTATGTATGTATGTATGTATGTATGTATGTATGTATGTATGTATGTATATATATTTGATATATACTCCACTTGAAACCTACCCCTTAGAGTGGAAGTTCCTTTGTGAGTAGGGATTGTTTCAGTCAGCCAAACAGCAAATATTGTGTACCTACTTCAGGCACTGTTCTGGGTCCAGGTGATACAAATAAAAGAATAAATACTCATTGATTAATTGAGTTATATATTTAATGAAAGTTTTTCTGGTGATATCAGAACAGTACAGTTTCCATGGGAAAACTATTGAATATATGCAGTTTTTAAAAATTTTTTTTTTCTTCATCACTGTTTTAAAAAATTATTTCTTTATTTTTAGCATTCTTTTTAAAAAAAAATTTGAGTTCCACATTCTCTCCTGTCCTTCCCCTACCTATTGAGAAGGCAAGTAGCATATCAGTTATTCATGTGAAATCATGCAAAACATATTTCCTTATTAACCATGTTGGAAAGAAAAAGGCAAGAAAAATAAAATGAGAAAATTATACTTCAGTTTGCACTCAGAGTTCATCAGATCTCTCTCTGGAGGTGGTGGATAACATTTTTCATAATGCATTCTTTGGAAATATCTTGGATCATTGTAATGATCAGAGTAGCTAAGTCTTTCACAGTTAATCATCACTACAATTGTGGTGTACATTGATCTGCTGGTTCTGCTTATTTTGCTCTGCATCAGTTCATACAGGTCTTCCCAGCTTTTTCTGAAACCATCCTGCTCATGATTTCTTATAGCAAGTGCAGTAGTAGTCCTTCACAATCATATATCACAACTTGTTCAGCCATTCCCCAGCTGATGGGCATCCCCTCAATTTCCAGTTCTTTTCCAGCACAGAAAGAGCTGCTATTAATATTTTTATGCATATAGGTTCTTTTCCTTTTTGTTTGCTCTCTTTGGGATGCAGACCTAGTAGTGGTAATTGCTGGGTCAAAGGATATGTATGGTTTTATAACCCTTTGGGCATAGTTCCATATTGATCTCCAGAATGGTTGGAGCTGTTCAAAACTCTATCACATCCCCTCCAGAATTTATCATTTTTCATTCCATACAGGTTCCTTTAAATAAAAAATATTAAAAAGAGGAATAAGTTTTAAGTGTTTTGTATGGAGAATCCATAATGTAGTAGTAAAATTATTCTTTTGATTGTATTTCTTTGCATTGTAGATATGCATAAAACTGTTTCAGGAAGCATTAATTCTCATCATTACAAAATATTTGGACTGCTACAATTTTTATTTGTATTTCTTCATTTAAGCTGTTACAGAATTCTGTGTAATGAGAGATCAATCATACTTTTAAAACTAGTTTTCTTTGTGTACAAAATTCCACACATATTATATGTAACAACTGTTAGTTCAGTTATTAGATAGTTTTCAGATTACTTTTTAATTTTAGAGTTCAGTCTTGACATTACAGATTTTTCTCCACATTTCATCTTACATATAGTTTGTATTTAGATTTATGAATTATGTTCAGTTTTCAGAAATATTTGAGTAATATATCGTGTTTTTCTTAGGATGCAGGACAAAAAAGATTTGGAGCAGTTTCCTGTAATATTTGTGGAATGCTTTACACAGCTTCAAATCCAGAAGATGAGACTCAACATTTGCTATTCCACAACCAATTTATTAGTGCTGTAAAATATGTGGTAAGAGAATTTCATGGTTCTTTAAGGGTAAATGGCCAGATTTTTTAGTGAGATGGGTCTCTAATTTATTTTTAGTTTTCAACATTCTCACTTGAATGGTTTATAAAATAATATTTTACACATTTTCCAATTATAGTTTTATAAAATAAAACATGACATTTCTGAAATAAACTGGCTTTTTTTAAAAGAAATTTATTTAATGTCGATCAGTTAGTATTGGTGGAGTTTTTGTTTTAAGTAAGCATTTTTATTGCCTTTGTTTTGGACTTCTCCTAAGAAATTGTGTTGTTCCACCTGGGCAGTTCTTGCTTTCTTTATGAGCTTAGAAAGATACAAAAATCCTGAGTTACTTAATAGTCCAATGGCTTGGAACAACTTTGTATCTTATAATTACATAATAGTATTCTGAAAAATGACATCTAGATGATTTTTGAATTTTTATTTCTCTTTGGCCTTTATAAAACTGTAGAAAAATAATTTTCTAATAGTTTAAATCTCTGAAACCTTGCTTTTAAAAAAAGTATGTTTAAAGTTCCTATTTTTTTCCTCTTTATTAGTATAAGAATAAGGAAATTGTGTATTTTTTCTTTATTTGTATGCATGTTAGGTCTGTTGGGTAATTTTTAACATTTGAGTTTAACGTAGTAAAGTTTTCAGCAATTTTGAACTATTTTAGATATCTTGTGAAAATAGCGATTTTATACCAAAGGTGTTCCCGCATAATCTGAAATACAAACTGGAATTCATATTTACATACATGTTACCTTCAGTACTGTACACTCACATAGACAAGACCTCCAGGATATCTGAACTGAGATCACCAACTCATTTCATATAGACGTTCAGATGAGCACTAGGTAATTATTCAGATGTTCTTACTCTGGCCCAAGTTAGAGCCATTTTACCTTAAGTTGAAAAGACCTATTAGTATTTCAGTCAACCAGTTTTCTCCCTTAGATAAAATTTTCACTTTTTTATCTAAGATACTAAAGTTACTTAATACTGTCTCTGTTTCTAACGGTTTTCTCCTGAAATATGCTAAGCAAATTTTAAGATTCTTATATGCAGAAAATCTGTTATAAGATACAGATTTATTACTTGAAACCTGCCGTTTGCCAATTTACTTGTTATCAATACTCTTCAGCAAAATGATATTTTAGTATGGGACTTCTCAGTTCTAGAATCCTTTTTGTAACCTGCTAAGAAAGCAAAACATATATATAACATACGTACATGTATATATGCATGTATAAATATGTATACACACATATATACATATATATGCGATGTAGTTAATTATAGCTTACTTTCAGTGAAAATATTTCACTTGATTTTGCTTTGAAAAGTAGTTTAAAGTTTGGATACAACTTGATTTAAATTGCTACTGAAGCCATTACAATCATATGCAAATACTAATGCAATGTGTTAAATTCTCCTTGAGGTAAAAACTAAGAGTACATTTCCAAGCACAAAATCTGAAGATTTTGTTTTAAAACATTTTATTGAGTGGACCAAGAATTGGACTTAGTAATAGTTATTTCATATCTCCTATAATTTATTAATAACTAAGTTGATTGTCTTATGTAAAAAGGAATGAAGTTGACCTTTTTAATAAGTTATTTTTTTTTTTTTGAAGGGGAGGGATAAGACTCCAAAAAGAATCCGAGGATATTTTTTTCTTTTTCTTTTTTTAATTGATGGGACAGAGCTAAGGGTTGTTGTTGTTGTTGTTTGTTAATACAATTTTTGTTTGGTTTTGTTTTTAACTTTGAGAGAAGGAATTGAGTTTAACAGATGGTCTTCCTTTGCACTGAGGTCCAAATTCTTATTTACTTTTTTATGTTATAAGAATGTTTTCCATTTCATATATATGTGTAGTCTGAAAAAATCTAATAAAAATTAATTTTTTAGCTTTTAGGAAGAAGGTGAAAATATTGATGCCCAAAATGTACTGAGGGGAGCACATAGCTTTGATTTCTTAGTTATAACACCAAAATGAATTTAGATAATTTTGTCCTTATTTTATCTTCTGTGTTGCCTATTTTGTGTGTTTATTCAAGTGTGGAGTGTGCTTTAAAAAAAAGTTTAGTGCTCTGGCCTTATTAGTCATGTTAAAAGTAAAATACTTTTCAAACTGTTCAGTATTTTTGTTACACTAAGAATATTAAAATACAAAGTAAATTAAAAGGGATAATTCAATTATTTTTATTTAATTAGCAGTCTTTAAAAATTATTGATGCCTCTGTTTTATATTGTCACTTTCCAGTGACTCTTCTCATTCCTTAATCCATAGAATATGCCCTTATTTGTAACAGGTAAAATAAGAGAAGCAAATTAATACATTGGCCATGTCTGCAAGACTTCCTTTTCCACCTGTTGTCTGTCTGCTGAGATGTGGGAAGCCGTTGTTCCCATCAGTCCTCCAAAGTAATGATTATGGACATTATACTGATGAGAGTGCCGTAATAAAACAGTCTTCAAAGTGGAATGAAGTTCAGTCTTCTTATGATAAGAATTTCTCCCCTAAACTTATACTGTATCTCATAGTGTTATAGATCTAGGTGGCTTTGGGTTTTTTAAGGTTATGTTAGTATAGTGAATACTCTTTCTAGATCCTTTGCAAAGCCTAAATCTTCCTATGTAAATGTGAGTTGTACATAGTAACCAGGATGAATAGAAAGGCTTTTAGGTATGTTTCTGTCCACAGATTGTGTTTGTGGTCTGAGGACCAGCTCAGCTTAATCCAGAGTGACTTTTTAGCAGGTGTTGGACCACCAGGTGTTGAATTCTTTTTCTTTAATAGCAGTTAGCAAAACTGTTTCCTAAAGTTCAGGTGGGTGTGTTTTTCGTTGGTGAAATCTTGGATTGTTGAAATATAAAAGATTTCCTCTAGAAACTGGATTAGTACTCTTAAAATAGGCTTTTTTTCCCTGTGAGATAAATAATATTTAAATCATATGCATATAATAAAGACCTGTAAACATTCTTAGTTTTTCTGATGATTTTTGGCCTACTGAAACATTAAGCTTCTAGTGTCTTCCTTTCTTATCCCTTTCTGTGAAAACAATAGATCATACTTTAGAGCTAGAAAGGTTCTTTGAAAATCATTCTGTTGCAGTCTTCTCATTGTTCCTTTCTTCACTTCTTTATCCTCTCATCCTGATTTTGGATACCATTTAGAGAGAAACATTTGGACCAAACTGTTGGAGATTTCTTTAGGAGGTAGCTTTTCCCTCATCAAGGAGACTTTGCTTTTTGACAGAGACCTAGGAGCTTCCTTAGTATATGGAGTTATTGATTCCTGTAGGAAAAGGAGCTCAGGGTGACTTGTGGACAGATTTAGCTTTGCACCACATGGCCAAGTCAGGTATTTGTCCCAGCTCCCCAATCTCAGCTGTAACCTTAAACTCCCACTAGATGTCCTGAATCACCTTTAGTTGTTCTAGTGATTAATCAGAGTAGCATTTGGATTCATTGTGAAGGCTTCTGGTTTATACTTTTTTCTTCCATAAGTCTTTCCTATTAACAAGTACTTGTATACTTGTGAAGAAACCATAGACATAGTCTCTGTTTTCAAAAAACTTAGACACCCAAAGGTGCCCCCTGCGCACGCACAAACCCACATATACTCTCTCTACCTCCCCCTTCCCCTGCTAGTCTTTTCCAGTTAATTATTCCCAATTCCTTCAGTAAGTCCTTTCTAGTTCCTTAAACTGTCAAGACCTTTTCACTATCTTTGTTGCACTCTCTTGGACCCTTTCTTCTCCAGCAGATTGAATCCTTATTCATCCCCTCCTCGAATCTTCAGCCTGTCTTATCCATTGGTTCTTTCTCTACTGCCTATACAGCTAAGTCGTCTTTTTTGGGGGGAGGTGAGCAGTTGGGGTTAAGTGACTTGCCCAGGGTCACACAGCTACTAAGTGTCTTGTGTCTGAGATGGATTTGAACTCGAGTACTCCTGACTCGAAGGCCTGAGCTCTATCCACTGTACCACCTAGCTCCCTCTAAGCCTATCATCGCTTATCTCTTCTCCTTTTCTCAGCCAGATCCCTTTAAAAAGTTGGCTCTACTTATTGTCTCTAGTTGCATACCTTTCAGTCCTTTCAACCCTTTGCAATGTACCTTTTAACTTCACTACTCACTTGAAACAGCGAGATCTTAGAGTGGTCTCTAAATTGTGAAGTTGGTTTGCCTTTTCCCTGTCCTAATCCTTATTACCTCTATGTTTTATTTGACAGTGTTGACCACCCTCTCCTCTTGGATGGTCTCTCCTCTCTAGGTTTTTATGACACTAGTTTATTTTGGTTCACCTCCTACTTGTCTGATTCACATCTCAGTTTCCTTTGTTGGCTCATCATCTACATCATACCCCTTCACTATGGATGATTCTGTCCTGAGCTCTCTTCTCACTCTCATGGTAACCTTGTTAGCTCCCATGAGTTTAACTGTCATCTTTATACCGATCACTCCTGTATTTCTATATCCAGCTCCAGTTTTTCCCCCTAGCTTCAGTCCTACATTACCACTTGTCATTTTGACATTTCAAACTGGATATCCCAGCAATATCTTAAACTCATTATGTCTGAAACGGAACTCGTTACCTTCCTCTCTAAATCTTCTACTCTTTCAAACATTCCTACTTTACTTGAAGGTACCACCAACCTTTCAATGTCTCAGGTTCATAATCTTGGTATCGTCCTTGATTCCTCCGTCTACTTGCCCTACATATCCAATCAGCTGCCAAATCTTGCCATTTCTACCTTCATAATATCTCTTGAATCTAACCCCTTTTCTTTACACACTGCTACCTTAGTTCACACTCTCATCATCCCTTGCCTAGATTATTTCAACTGTCTCCTAATTGGTCTCCCTGCCTCAACTGTCTTTCTACTTAAGTCCACCTTATACATTGCTGCCAAAGTAATTTTCTTTAAGCACAGATGTTACCATGTGAGTCTCTTAATGAACTTCAGTTGCTTCTAAGGTAAAATTTAAATTCT